CACACACACACACACAAAGCACACCATCGCAGGGGAATGTACGTGCACAGTCACAGAGGAGCAGCGTGGCTGGAGAGTAATGGGCCGGAGATGAGACGAGAAAGGGGGGAGAAACAGAAATATGGAAAGAGGGGAGGAGAGAGAGGAGAGAAAATTGTCCTTGAAGAATTCACAGGAAAGAGGTTTGAACTTGTTAAAGTCAGATTTGACAGAAAAGACGCAGAATCTCTACAGAGACTTTCCGCCTCGTGCAGCTTCTTGGTTTAACGGGACGTTAGCTGACGCAGCAGCAGAACATGGAGCCCATGTAACAGTCGTTTATGTTTGTGCCGTTACTCATTTATTTATTTTACCCTGTGTGATTTTCAACTGTGTAATAATTCAACAAAACAAATAAACCTCAGAATTCAGCAAATAATGCAGAATCTGCCTGAGTCAATATTACACTTCGCAAATTCTCTGATTTCATTCAAATAAAATCATGTAATAAAATTCACTGGGTCAGTTTATTGTGGATTAAATTGTTTTCCTGTAGATTCCTGTTTCATTTTGTTTTCAAACAGGAAACACCATAAAAGGAATGAAACATGGTGTAAGATTGACTCTATGGAAACATTTTAAATGCATTTATAACAAAGCTGAGGATTATCTCTTCATTTTGCGTGCAGATGTGTGTTTGCATGATGGTATGGATTATGTGTGCATCTAAACTGAGTGTGTGTGTGTGTGTGTGTGTGTGTGTGTGTGTGTGTGTGTGTGTGTGTGGGTGTGTGTGTGGGTGCAGAGTCGTGTCAAAGCTTCTTGTCTGGAGGTGGATCGTTCATCTCCTCAGTGGCGACAGGAGACGACGACCTCAGTGTGAGTGATGGCTCTGAATCTGAACTAATCAGCCAGCTGCACAAGCACACACACACGCACACACACACACACAAACACGCACACACACACACACACACACACACACACACACACACACACACACACACACACACACAGGCACACACACACGCACACACACGCACGCACACACACGATGACCAGCAGCTTGATAATGTCCTACAGAGTTTGTTATGCTTCACTTTTGTTTGTGTTGTTTAGAATACCAACTGTCTGAGCTTCACCAGACAAAATAAAGACAACAAATACCCACAATGCATCTGATCATGACTTTCTGTAGTGAATCAAAGTCAAACTGAGAATCTGTGGTTTTGTTTGGATTGGACCGAATCTGAGGACGAACCAAAAAAAGTACAAAAGTGGACAAACAGCCGAGTCACGGGTGAAGTAAAGCAAATCTGAGGTCTTGAGAATTAAACTATTTTGTGAAAATGCATTTTAGTTGAAGCATGTGATGTAAAAAAAATTACATTTAACAAAAACGTTTCACGTCACTTTAACTTCACACCAAAGATTCTACTTCTCAAACTTAAACTGTTTCTCCTAAACATCTCCAGCTCTATACTTTCAGACAGCCCCCTATACCCAGACTGTGTATTTATTGTATATATATATATATATATATATATATATATATTGTGTGTTTTCTCTGGAGCGAGAATTGTGGACTGGCGAGGTGAACCCGCACAGATGGTTCCAGACACACTTGGACGACCTGGAGGGAGAAACAGAGCGTGGCGGCCGCCCCCGTCCTCGGATACATTCTCCTCACTCCTCTCTTTTTCTGCTGCTCGCTTATTTCTGCTGCTGCTCAGATTTATTCACATGAGGCAGCTTATACTTCCCCTCTGTTTTTACTTTCTAGTACTTTCTCTTAATCCCCCCCACATCTTTTCTTCTATTCCCTTCTGCTTTTCTCACCTCTTCTCCTCTGCAGTTTTCTCTGTTTAACTGCTCTTTTCTTTCCTTTTCTTTCTCACCTTTTCCTTCTTGTCCACTTTATCTTTGACCAATGTTTTTTCTCTTCCCCTCTATTACCTCAGATCCTTCATTTCTTTATGCTGATTCCGTATCTCCCCTGAAAACAAACGTTAAATAAATATAAAGTTAAAGTTAAAAAAAGGCAGATATTTATAACTTCTCTGAACACCATGTTTTTCCTCGTCACTGAGTCGCACTGAAAGTTTCATGACACTGGAAGGAAAATAAAACAACATTTGGGGGAATATGTATTTTCATCTCAGTGTCGTATCCCTGTTATTTCCAAATTGTACACACGTTCAAATGAAAACGAAATCCCGTTTCTGACTCACACAGGATTTCAGCAGCGTCTCCAGGAAAACATATTTCTCTTCATTTCAAAGAGGACGTGATCACCTAGTCTGAATTTAGATAAAATGCTCCCTTCATTAGACAGAGTCACATCCTTCGCTCCATTTCCCTCTCTTTAACTAAATCTGGAGAATCGGTGTAAAATAAAAACGAGGCCTGATGGATAGATGAAAAAAACAGGTGTGAAGGTTCCTCAGACCAGAGGAGGTGTTCTGGGTCTGGATCAAACTGAGCCATGGTTCTGTTGGTTTCCAGAGCGAAAACTCTTTTTTTTGACTTTTGGACCAATCACAGGAAACAGCATTAAACAATAGAAGAAGAGGAAGCAGCTGCAGGACTGCAGACGTTCATTTGGTGCATTTGAACTAGTTTGGAGTACTGTAGTACTGTAGTACTGTGGAGTACTGCGGTGAACCCAAAACTAATCAGATCAAATGAAGCTGTGGAACAAACACGTGAAGCTCAGAGGGTCGTATCCATGGCTACTGGGTGAAACTGTTAAACTGGGTTAAACCATTATGTTGCTGGGTTAGAACAAACCAACTGCTTTTTAATATCACTATCACATCTGTATCTGCAACATTTGTCAAAAATAAGAATGAACGAATAAAGAATAAAACCATGTGATCAGTGTTGAACCTCTCACCTGTGTTGTAGTGCTTGGTGCAGTAGCGCAGGTCCTTCTCCTCTTTGAGTATGAACTGAGGTAGCGTCAGCCCGTCGGCCACCTGCACGGCTCCCTTCTCATCCCACTCGAATATGAGGTCGTTCATGGTGTAGCCGACTGTAGGAGAGAACAGGAAACAGGAAGTTGGACAGTTTTCAGTCTGTTCTTTTCTCCTCTGAACAGGAGGATGATCGAGCTGCGTTTAAGTGCCGGTGGAAAACCGGGGCATTCCTTCACAATCACCTCTGTAGGTGGTTTGGCTCATCAGTACTTGTGCTTAATATGTCTGGGTTTGTTTACCAGATCTGTCTGAACGCAAATTCAAATCCATGAAATTTAATCCAATACATAAAAAAATACGTATTTTTCTTTGCTGTACACACACAGACGTTCGTGTTCGAACCTCTGTGCTGCTCTGAACGACTCAGACATGAACATGTGACGACAGAATGTAAATTTCCTGCCTGAGCTGTTCGCATGAGGAAATGGGCGCCAGGTTAAAACCGTCTCCGAGTCGGACGGTGACAGCGACGTCGTCCGTCCATCCAGTATCCGGCCGCTTCCTTTTGAAGCTTTATAATCAAGTATGAGTGCAACACCAGTGAGCCATGTACGGTTCTGTCTTTGTTTGGTGCTCAGTGACCCGACAGTGAAAGAACAGAACTGTTTGAAAATCAGCTGCTCTGATTCCTCTCACGTCTGAGCAGAGAATGAAAAGGCCACGAGAAATCTATATCATATCTCTCACACTGCCAGCTGCTCAGTGAGGGATGCTTCCACACAGCCTCGCTGTGTGTGTGTGTGTGTGTGTGTGTGTGTGTGTTTACTCACAGCTCTCCAGCTGCATGATGCACGTCTGGACGTCCATAGGGAAGTTCTTCAAATCCATGGGACAGGCCAAGATCAGTGTTATTCTGCAGAAACACACACACACTTCAAAATATTGCACTGGCTGAACATTTCAAACCTGAAACTCAAAGAAGTTTCCTACGTACGTAATCGATTAAATAATCTGAGCAACATCCCCGACACTGACGATCGTGTTTGGGAAACCTACAGAAAACACGTCGACGTTGGAGTCACAGTTTCACAGCGTCGTCGTCTCTGCTGGACGACAACCTGTGGCTCAGGGAGAATGAATCCATCTCACGCGAAGCTGATCAGTGAAACTCTGAAAATGAAAACGTTTGAGGAGAAGTCGCTGCGGCGTCGTAGTGACAGATTCGATTTCTGAGTCTCAGGCACCAGAATGAATTTCCGCTGTCACACAGAGGGAATGTATCTCCGTCGACATTCTTCTCCCCAGAAATTAATGGGAAAACCATTTTTGCAACTGATATGATGCATTGTCGAAATGAAAGACTTTCATTTTTGAAATGAGATATTCAGCAATTAAAATTATTACTGCTCCACGCCGCACATTAGATAATTTTGATTTACAAAACTAGTTGGGGCAGATTATTTCAAATCAGGGACACTGCTGGAAATATACATCAATCCATGATTTATTACAATATGAATCAAGCTTTTATCTACTGTTCTGTCAGAAATTAAAAAGAGATTTGTTGTTTTTTATGCTGTCACCTACTGACAAGGTTAGCTTTTCTATCTTATAATTACACAGTCATCAACAATATTTTAAATTCTGTATAAAAACAGGAATTAAATGGAAAAACACTGATCTCTTATCTCCATTAAAGTCCATTTATTGGCTTTTCTTGAGCTTTCCATTGAATCACATGTGCTTGAATTTGCCTTATGGTCAATGATAATAAACCTTGAACCTCAGGTTTCTTTAAAGTTTCTGGTATTCATACTGAAGATAAAGGAAATTAATCTTTTCTCTGTTAAATGTCCATTTTTCTCTCATACACTAATATATAACCTGTATTTCAGATTTTTATGTAATGTATTTTATCTTCTTTATATTTGGGTGTGGTTTTCATATACGCCTGGATTCTACCATACTCTAAACTAAACAATTAATATCACATTATTTTCAGGACTGTGCATCTTAAATATGTCCTTTAATACCAATTAGCATCACGTTTGGTTTCATTCCTTACTGATAAATTGTGGTAATCAGGGAGTTTGTTAAAGTTAATTCTCCGACAAAGTTCCAACACCATAAATCACCACAACTGAAAATCTCTAAATCACAAACTGTTATTTAAAAGTAATTAAAGTCACAAACTAATTTCACTGATACGAAGCAAACTCCCGTTTGGTTCGTGCGGAGTCGAAGCTGTCAGCAGGTGATTTCACTGCACATGCTCCGTCCTGCTCCAACACGACACACGCTGTTACAACACGCTCGTCCGGTCGGCCTCATGTACCAAATAAACTTTGCTGCGTCGGCACATCGTAACAAATCCCTGACAGAATGCTGAATGTGTATTACACACATGGTGTCGTCTTTGCAGATGTCCCACTTTCTCACAGAGTAAGATTCAGCGCCGGGGTTTCGTTTGGCTGCATCGGGACTGTACTCGCCATATGCTGCTAAAGTTAATGCCTTGCTTTGTTCCCCAGAGGGAGTTGAACCTCAAACCCTGCAGGTGCTGTGACGGGGTTACAATAAAAATCCTACATATCTGTTGCAGGATAGGAGACCGTTGATTGTAAATAAAGATGGATGACAAGACAGCTCTGAAATGTTAAGCTAAAACATCTTGATCGCCCCCTGGTGGCTGGCTGCTGTATAAGTCAATAACCCTGCCTCCTCCACGTCAGCAGAAAGAACATGGACCGAACTAAGAAACTCAAAGAACTCGTCAAATAACCTTTTTGCTCATGTTTCCAATAAGTTTGGTTAAATTCACTAAAGACGTTTCGAGGACACTCTCAGATTGAATCATCCTAAAATAAGATGCCAGATATTTTATTTGTTTTAGAGAAATCTTAAATTCTGTGTTTCTTTCATAAATACATGATGATCAAACCCACATGGGAGCAAATAAAGGCTCCTTCTGATGTTGTCAGGTTAAAAAAAATCAAAGTGCAGCATTCATCCCTTCATCCTGATGATATTTGTTAAGGGCCAATCTCACTCCTCCTCCTGCTGGACATGAAGGTGAACACTGAGGTTGATAACGGATCAGACTCGCTGCTGGAATACTAAGAGGCTGAGTAGATTACCCCGGCTGCTGCTGCTGCTGCTGCTGCTGCTGCGGCGGCGGTGGCTTCTCATTCGCCCCTGAGCAGAGGCAATAACAGCGAGGAGGCAGCGGCGGGCTAAAAGGTTTGTCGGCTGAAGGTGGCCATAACTCTGAGAGCCTTGAAGGGGATGTTTTTTGGATACAAAGAGAAACAGAGGGAGGAAGTGGAGACGAGGAGGAAATAAAAACCTCTGCAGCAGAGGATGAAGGTTGTTCCAAACATCCCTCCTTCATCTGTTCATCTATTTCTGTAATGTGTTTTTATAAAGGAGACATATTATGCTCACATTCAGGTTGATCATTATAATCTGTGTTATCAGTTGAAAACACATCACTTTCCTCAGACTGTCCATTGCTGCAGCTCCTCTTTTCAGCCTCTGTCTGAAACCTGCTTTGTTCAGTGGGCGTGACTAGCCTAGCCGCGCATTAAGCAAATGTTAGGGCGCCACGATGTCACGTGAAACCGCAAAATAGCGGAATCAAACCTCCACTCACCGTATGCTGTAGAGCACGTTGCCGTTTTTCGAGATGCGCAGCAGCTTGTTGTCGGTGGTGACCTCGTGGAAGTTGGCCCCCTTCTCGTTGGCAAAGAACAAATCAGGTTTCCAGATGGAGTCCAACATGGAGGGGTCGAGGTCCAGCGAGTCGTCGGGGTACTCGCTGTACGCCAGCCGGGGGTCGTTCCACTGCTGCCTCAGGAAGATGTTCACTCTGTAGTCCTGAGAAAAAAACAGGGAGGGAGGAAAACATGTTGTTAGAGGGGAGAGAGAACAACAACTAAACCGAAGTTCAGTGGAGGTTGACCTGTCATTATTATATGTAGTTTATTAATCAATAGTATATTAAGTTAAGTGTCCACTGATGATATTGACCAGGCGTCATATTTATCAATAATGCGAGGACGGCTAAAATAGTTAGTTAGTGCAACTAATGTGACTTAAAACGCAGTTTGCTTTATATCAGAAATTAGACAGTCCTTAAAATGTTGTGGCCGTTGATTGTAAATAAAGATGGACGACATGACAGGTCTCATGTTCATCAACCACTGCCCCCCCCCTCCCCCCCCACGACCACAGCTGCTCCAGAGGTCCAGAATCTCTCTGATGCAGACGAGACAGACGAGAGGGAAACAGATCCACCAGAGAGATTTAATCAAAACAAAAACAGAAAACGATGTAAAGCACAAATCCAGGGAAAAAACGAGGGATGTAAAATATATTTGCAGGAAGAAGCTTCCTTTAAAGCAAGAAAAGAGATGAGAGGAAAAAAAAAAAAAGACTCGTCGAGGGTCACTGCACTGCTGACTCAAGACGCTATAACTCAGGGCGGAGGAACGGATCGACAGACACCAGCAGATGTAGAGATGGATGATGGGCAGGATTTTCACGGTCGGGTGAGCAGGTGGTTATGGGTCTTCATCCATATGTCGTTTTCTGCTTTGTGTGAATGTAGAGACTTTACTGATCACGGCCAGTTGTGGCTCGAAGCTACATCTGAGATCTGTTTCTGCCTGTGAGCCAGTTTCAGATCCTCCTCAGCCTCAAACGCCACAGACGACGCCGCTGTTCTTTTATTTTAATCTTTCTGTCCTTTATTGTTCTCCTGAGTCTTGGAGGCTTTTTCTAAAGGTTTATTTCCGATATACAGTTATTTTAACAAGACTAAAAAAGATGTTCTATATATAGACGTGCAGACGGATGTGAGGAGCGACGTCCTGGTACAGAGCCGGGCGGCAGCTGAAGGTCACCGAGCGGCTGCTTCCTCTTTAGTCTTACACGAGGAGATGGAGAGATACAAGTGTCAGGGAGAGATTAACAGAAGATGGAATGTTTCGAAGACAAAGCCTCTGACGTGGATGTATAGTTTTCAAAACTCGCAGATCTCTCAAGGATAGAGCGTTAATGATGCTTCAGTTAAAGCAGCTTTCAAATGAGCCAGAAACACAGATTTATTTTGTTTCATCCCCTCAAATCAAACAAATTAGTGTTTTCTAAAGAAATTTAGAAAATAACAAATGAATTCCACCAAACGTCCAGCATGAAAGTTTAATGAGGTCCATTATCTTAAATGATTGAATGAGGAGGCAGAAATCCTGAGGGAAAATTCCATCATGTGATTCACTGAACATGATGTTTGACTTTTGACTCAGCTGATCTTTGCTTCATCGGAGTGAATCAGAGATTCACAGATTCTGATGCTGGTTTCAAAAGGTTTCGTTCAGCTGGAGGAGGTTAAATTCAGAATCCAGCAGAAACAAACCTCCACCAGGAGGATTTCAGACCTTCAGCCTCCACAGTTTAACTGAGAATCAATACGTCTCCTACAAGTCGGACTGTGTGTGTGCGTGTGTGTGTGTGTTCTATCTCCTCTTCTATCTCTGTGAGGCCCAACTGGAGTTTCACAATATATCTTTACTTTAGAAAATGGAAATATTCCAGGAATCATGTGTAACTCATGACCTCATCAAGGAGGTTATGTTTTTGTTTTGTTAGTTACCATGAGATCTGACTGTCTGCGAGCACGGTAACAACTTCATGGACGATAGTGTCACAGCTCAGTCTGCACACAGATAAACACCCAGAGAGAGATCTCATGTTAATTTGAGGAATGTGTAAAGAATTATTTTTGGTTCGTTATGAAACTGTGGCACGACAAATTACAAAATGGCATCGCCACAGTCTGGATAATTAACAGGAAATGTCGATTTGACACAGGCACACGCAGATATAGTTCACACATCTCTTTTTTATATAATCTAAAAATTCTCCTCACACATAATTATGATTTTACTTTTCCTTCTGTCTCTTTTCCTCCCTCATCTCTGTCCATACACGACGTCCATCAGCTCAGAGTTCCATTGTAAAGAGCCTCCTCGTTCAGCACAGGGTGGCATTTAACTCGGCCCTCCATCCCCCTAATTGTCAATTATTCTCAGAAAATGGAGCTCGGACACTCGGTCCAGGCCGCAGCCGTCATTAAGCCCCGGAGGGTCTACCAGAAATGAGTCGCAGGGACGCGGCGCGGCCACGACAGCAGCACCAGCAGGTGGCATTTGAAAATTTTCCACGTGAGAAATACAGTCACATGGCAATCAGTGTCGGCGAGAGCCCTTCGCCGTTTATCAATGTTTATTAGACCGAATATCTCAAATGAAACAAATGAGCTCGACCTTTCGTGAATGACTCGCCTTCTCTCTCCTGCTCCAAATGATAAACAAGCCGAAATGGTGCAGAGATGAGGAGAGTGTGTCGATGGAGGGAGAGAGCGAGGGAAACAGAGGAGAGGGAGCAGCTATTATATCAATTTTTCTTTGTTTATTTTCAGACACTGATTTTCTTGGTTTCAGTGTCTTATTTAATTTATAAATCTTTCCCTTAATGTATTCATTAAAATTATTATTTTGATTTATCCACTCAGAATTTAATTGAATTTGCTCAAACTATACGTTTCTTTTTTGTAAAGTACGTTTAGTATTTAGAGACAAATGTTGAACATCACAAATCAAAATATAGGTTTAAAGTTGCGCTTGTGATGATTCAGTTGTAACCAGATCTTTTATTACATTATAGAATATTATACATGTATTAGCGTTCAACAGCTAATGTAGGTGAAGCTTAGATTGACTTTTTATTTAAAGTACTGTTTTTTCTTTATCCATTTAGTTTAGTTTTATTGAAATTCACTTGTATCCGTTCACGTGTTTGTACTTTTGGCTGTTTGCGTTTTATTTTCACATCCCATTAAATCATTTATCGTCTAAACACTGAATTGTTTCACCGGACAAACTGGTCAGATTGCAGACGTGGTTCGGTCCATAAAGCCTCGGCTCCTCCAGGCTGCAGATGGACGAACATTAAGTGCATTAATCAGCAGCGGGGAACGGACGTGACGTGGCTGCACTCTCGGACTCAAATGAGGGAGAAGTAATGTGAGGGAGAAAACGAGCGATTCCAGGAAATAATGTAGAATTGAGGAGAATAGATAACTGATTCAGATTTTTTTTAATAAAAGCCTGAGTGCTCCCTCCTCCTGTGGGTGGAGGAAAGCAGCAGCAGGACGTCGGCATATGTGCAGGTCTCCCAGGACGACTGCAGGTTCATGCTCGAGGTTTAATATCCTGACATAAGGCCATTGGACTGCTAAGTGCTACCCAGAAATTGCCATCCACTGCTGCCTCGCTGCTATGAAACCATTAGCAGAGGAAACGCTGTACTTACACAATAGCACACTGATTTCAGCATGTATTAAACTCAGGCAGTAAACCAAGCATGAAAGACTGCAGCCCTCCTCCTCTTCCTCTCCTCCCTCTTCCTCCTCTAACAGCGACGACAACAACTGCAACGTCGACACACGCAGCAGCAGCCGCCATATTCTCATTCCACGCTGCCGTGACATCCTGCTGCTGCTGGATGCGGCTCAGGTAGGAGGAGGAGGAGGAGGAGGTTACGGAGGCCCACACATTATGGCAGCAACATCTGCTCCTCTCAGACAGAGAGGAAGGTGAGTTTTTCACCTCAGAATAAACCACATGAGCAGCAGCTGAACTGTGGGACGTCCGTTCAATTTGCAGCAGCAAACTTCGGTTCGACCGTTCTACTGATGCGATGCTGCAACATTCACAAAACCACAGATGGAAGACGTGGAGGAAAACACGCCACAGAGTTAACACGTGTGACCTGCTGTCGAGTCCACGGACACAAACCTGTAAAATTACCATTTATATAAAGGTCTGATTTACATTAAAGTAACACATGATGTATTATATCTACATGTGAGACGTCTATGAGTAGTTAAAAACAACTCATTTGCAAAACAGCAATTTAACAAACGTTCATGGGGCTTTTCATTCATTCAGAACATTATCTACACCTACAGGTGCTGGTGTCATTAAATTCTCAAAACTTTACTTTTAGTTATGTTAACGTTGGTTTTAGGATTATGTTGAAATCGAAGTAAAGTGTTGAATCTCGATTCCTGAAGGTGACGGGGCAGAAAATAGCAAAACGGAGGAACTTCTAGGAGACACTTGGCAAATATATTCTTTATCTTTCTTTTGTTACTTAAGATTTAGGTTGAAACGATTTAACGTGTGAATGATTACCTGTTTGGTTGAGTACTTAAATTAAAAAATAAATTATTTTTCACCTGCCGCCATTAGGTTGTCACAGAGAGGCTGTTTCGTTAACTTTTTTCGGGGAGTCCCCTTTTCTTTTAATGCAGAGTTTTTAGAATCCAAGGTTGAGTTTGGAAGTCAGATAGATAACAACTGGAGGAAAGTAACTCTGAGAGAGGACACGCTGACAGAAAGAGAAGACGAGACAAGGTTTAGATTTATTGTCCATTACAGTAGCTCCACTTGAAGACTAATGGTGACCACTGTGACAAGGAAAGATTATATACGTCCAATATACTTATTATATAGAATTATAGATTATATAGAACTTATACTCCTGTTTGCAGCTCAGATTTGCTGTTAACTTGTCAACTCTCTGTTCAGCCTGGTCTCAAGTCCGGTGTCCACAATAAATACATCTGCTAAACACGTCCTCCGTCTGCAGGAAAAACCTAATTCCTTCACCCCGCGAGTTTTACCTGAACATCCACTGATATCGACAAAAGCACAGAACTGAGCTCACAGCAGGAGGTGAGAGAACAAGAGAGACGGATGAGGCGGACAGTAATACTTTAAGTAACACTGTGTAAAGCCTCTTCAGCCTTTCATATGGACGGCGAGAGAGGGAATCAATGAGCGGAGAGATACGCTTGTGTGTGTGTGTGTGTGTTTCACAGAGGTAAAGAGACATAAAGTGAGCAGGGTTGGTTTGTGTGTCCTCAGAAAGATGAGGGAGGGAAAGCAAGATACAGAAGGGGTTGCACATCTATCCGAGTGTGTGTGTGTGTGTGTGTGTGTGTGCATCTGTGAGAGAGACAGAGAGAGAGGGAAAGAAACAGAGAGCGAGCAAGCGAGCGCTGAAACAGGAATAAAGCCGTGTACCGCCGGGACTTGAACAAGCACTGCGCCATTCTACCAGCTCCATCTATCACTGTGCTCCAGCCCCAGCAGCAGCAGAGTGTGCGTGTGTGTGTGTGTGTGTGTGTGTGTGTGTGTAGTCCAAGCTTAAAGTAAGAGCTACACACTGCAATGAACACCACCACTGCATCCAGGAGGAGTCGTCGGCCTCTCGCTCTGCTTCTCCCACTTTAAAAATTGATTTTCTGCTTTGATAAAACCTGATAAATCCAATTAGTCCCTGACTTTATTTTGTGTCTGAGAGATAAGAGCAGCACTGACTGTGGTCCTCAGTGTGTGAGCGCGCAGACGTTACCACTTCACTTCACACTGTGCGCAGGGTTACACTCGATCACATTTATTTACAGAGGAATATCAGGTCCACGGAGGCAGATGATTGACATCTCACATCACCCAGCAGCGTCTTCGACCATCATCGATTTTTATAAGGAAAAGATCCAGTAGGATAAAAAAAGGAGAAACCTCAAGGGAGGAGAGACGAGGGGGGAGGGTCACCTCCTTCTGGAGCTGCAGCTGTAAACTCCTCTCTACTTTTATTTCGCAATTATTTGTATAAACAGCAGATTTAAAAAGAAATCAGGAGACAAATCTAAAGCTGCTTTCAGACATGACCTGTGGGTCCAGACTTTAAACAATTCATGGGTTTTTTGTTTTTAACCACGTTCATGGAAGTCGCTCATGCTGTCGACACACACACACACACACACACACACACACTGCGGTTCAGTGCTGCCATATCTGCTTTGGGCCTTGTTGCTCTCTGAAGGTTAATGGTTCAGTTATATTAACGCTAATGGATTTTCTGTGTAATGAATGAGCAGAAATTCACGACAGTGTCGCCGCCGATGCGTTGTTATGCAAATGGTGATGCGCTCTTTTCAAATGAAGTGCTGGAAATGGGAGACGGGCTCAATGAGGCAGAGACATTTCTAAACACTCGGAGGGCAGACGGCTTTTAATGTTTGAAAGGAAATAAAAATGAAACTTTGGATGCGCCGAATATCAGCGTTGTTTCAATTAATCGCATTTTTCAGGGGAAAAAAATGACTCGGGCTGAAATGGAGCTGCGACGAGATGTGACAGTTTCTATTAGCCGCCCAATCATCCACATCCGCACACATACACACAAGTGATGCATAAATAACGACAAACACTGCACATCAGGTTGCATTACAGAGTCATATTGAGAATAATTGAGCTTACCATTGTTGTTTCAGCGATGGACCCAAAACTGTTGATAAAAATGTTGCAGGTTACGTTAACGGGCGGACCTGCAGAGAAAGAGAAGAGAGGGAAACACACAGAGAAGTTAGATTTCAGCCAAACAGCCAGAATGAGAGAAGGGGTAAAAGTTTAGAGAAGTGGAAGTAAGAGAGATTGTATTTTCCCGCAAAGGTCGAGTTGTGCTAATGTCGACAGGCGTACGATCACTTGATCCAAGAAATGGTTTGAACAGATGCCTTAGTTTCGTCCAAACTAATTTTGTGGCACACGACAAAGACTTTCACCTTCTTAGACCCACAAACAAAGCTTTGGTTGCCTTGGTTTTTTGTTCGTTGATGAGCAAAATAAATATTTGAATCCGTGCAAATCAGCAATTCTGGCTGAAAGGCCTGAGATTCTTTCCTCAAGCTTCGAGATGCAGGTTTCAAGAAAGAGATTTTATTTGGAAAAACATTCTACAACTGAGGGTTCTGAAAAAAATGTGACAAAAGGATAAAATGTGTTATTTGGTAATTGTTCAGTCTTCTTCTCAAAGGTCAACAGGAAGCAGGAGAGTTATGGTTGAAATAATAGAGATTTCATTCCATCAACACATACGTCTCTTATGAAACATTATGTGATGGATATCGGACTCTGTTTTCTAATCTGTGTTGTTCTGTGAGTGTGATCGTGTGTGAATTTCCTTGTGTAGGATGGATGCAGTGTATTCACTTTGTTTCTGTGTATGAAAGCGACAGAGGAAACTGAAGACAACAGGAAGTTAAACAAAGTGAAACAGAGAGTCTGGGTTCTAACGGCGGCCGAATGAATGAGTCTGTGTTCGGCGCTTAAACGCTTCATCAGTGTCCAACGACTCGACAGCGGCAGGAAGTTTGTTACAGAGTCGCTGAGAAGGAAAATGTGTAAACATCTCATTACAACCTGAGAAAACTAGAAATGAGGAAAAATCTATTTCACATCGTCTTTCCAGACTCGAAAAAAGAGCCGTCGGTCAAACTCCGAGTGTCATTTCAGAGAAATCCATCACGACAAAAGCACAGCCACCCCTCCTCTCTCCTCTCAGAGGTGGGACGCTGCATTCAAGGTTGTTTTCAGATGAACCAGTGAAGGTGAAAGTAAATAGCGTTCAGGGCTTTTGCGGAGGCTCCATTGATTTGCTGTATTACCAGGTTGTACAAACACAAATGCGATTACTTGGCGGCAGAAGTGGCGTTACAGTGAAGAGCGCGGAGGACGGCCAAACCCACAGGCGCGCTCTCCTCTTACAGGCGGTGGACATGACATTGGACTTCAGAACTGAATCAACGTCTCTGAATCTCCTTTTCCAAGAAGTCGAGTGGTTTGACCCAGAGTGGATCCGCCCAATGAAGTGCACAACTTCATTACATCAGCTCAATGAATGCATCCATTTAGAGATTATGACAAAAGCTTTTATTTTTGTTGCTTTTTTATGATTTGTTTTGTTTTTCCTGTTGAAAGATTGGTTTTTGCTATTTCCATTTTATTTCCATTTTGCTGAGAACAAGGAAAAAAATCAAGTTTCGTGAAGCAGTCACAGTTTTGAACATCATTTTTTAAACTGAAGCTTAAAACTCGAAGTCCTTGCAGCTGTTAACGTCTTTTCCTACCATCTCGCTCTGACTTTTTCCTCTGACCTTGCTCAGAAACTCTCTCAGCGTGTCTGAGCGTTGTGTTTTTTTTCCTCAGGAGGCAGAGATCCTCCGCTCTTTGTTTCGAACATTAAAGATGCCGAGGTGGAAACGCAGCTTTAAGAATCCTGTAGGGCTTTGCATCGTTTAGGAGATAAAAACTAATGTCGGCTTAATGAACTGCTGTTAATCCTCAGTCGATAAAAATACACAAAATCCTGATAATACTCTCTAATGATGTATATTCAGTACTTTTCCATTCATCATTAAAGAGGCATTACGCTGTTACCAACTAATACTTCACCATAATAGCTCCTCTGCACCCAGACTGTGTCCGAAAACGCAGCTCTGCACTTTTCATGCATAGAAATTAATAAAATCTGTGGACAAAGCATCATTATGAGTCTATTGTCTGGGGAATAATTAGATCATTGTGCACAAATTCAATCTCCATTTCTGTTAATCCCATTGTACATAATCCATTCCTGATCAGCAGGACAAATGTTTGTAATACTTTGCTTGGTTACGAAATATAAACGTCCAATAAAACAAAAGGTTTGATTGTTATTCTGAAACATATGGATGTGACTTAAGTTTAAACTGTGGCTCATGCAAACACACACACACACACACACACACACACACACACACACACACACAAATGCAGACTTTGTGTTAAACGTCCCTGGCTAAACTTAATGTATAATTCCACTAGCTGGCGGCTACTGCAAATGAAGGAAGGGGTCTGGATTATTTTGATGGCCAATTACTCTCCCTGTCACAGTCTGAGGAGAGCTGGAGGCCACAGGGGAGGAATATCATCTGAGAGTCATTCTCTCTCACACACACACACACACACACACACACACACAAGCGTGCAACTGTGGTTAAGCCATAGAGAAGAATCATAGGGTTGGAGATGCACGGTAAAAATCATTAAAGTTAGCTGCAGGCCCTCGTCGGCTACGTGACTTACATGTACAGAGTCTAATTAGAACAAACAATCGATTACTCACAGGCCTGCGTGATGAGAGGGGGAGGAAGCAATAAAGACACTATAAAAGTTTTAGATATTAAATCAACCAGGTTTGTTTCCAGTGCAGCAAATGAAACTGTGGCTGCGGACGAAATGAGTTTGTTCCAGAGAAAATTGCTGCAAACTGCTGCTGATGGAGAAGAGTGAGAGTGTGAAACTTGCAGTATTGCAGGTAGAATCACTTCAGAGTGGAGAGAAATATGTTTGAACTATAGAAGCTTCCTGTTTGCTTCAGCGTCTAAAAGCTCGTTGAATGTGACAACACTGATCTTCTGCTGCCTAATTCAATGCATGAATCTACAAACACGGTGAATCACTTACTTTCTTCTGTGTGGGTTTCCAAGCATAATGAACGACATCTCTCTCTTCTACCTATCAACACATTTCCATTTATATTCAGGGTGCTGTTTGTGAAGCTTCCATATTTTTAGTTTCCACAGATTTCCAGCAAAAACAACCGAACCAAACTTATTTGGTTCCCCTGCTGCAAGAAGACACCAATTAAGACAAATCTGGTCAAAGACACTGAGAAGAAAATTGCAGAGAAACGCAAATGAGCTGATTAGACAAGAGAGTCCCTTAAAGTCCTGCATTAGCAAAAGTCCCAGTACTTTCCCTAAGACAGAAAATAATGTAGTAATGTGCACAGGCAGCAAAAGGGGGCATATGGGGGAAATTAACAAATTATCATACACTCTTAGTTCTATTAGTGCATACAGGTCCAACAGTCCCTTAAATCTATTCATAAAACTACATAAACTGTTGATTCCTCACTGAATCCCAACATATTAATAGTCGCCATCCAACCAACCAACCAGGTTTGAAAACATAACCTCCTTGGTGTATGTCAAACCGACTCTGGACATTATAACCTTTCCAAAACAAGGATTTATTGTGAGATAGTTTGTGTTTTTTAGTTTTATCTGAGCATGAGAGTGTAATGTAATCATGTAATTAATGATTCATGTACAGAAAAGGATCGATTATCACTTGCTGGGTTCTGAACAGACCAGAGGAAAGAGCAGGAAACTATACTCAATAACTAGATCGTGTGAAGTGTAGAGTCATTTCACTTGTGTAGCACTTTTCTAATCTGAACACTCACAGCCCTTGATGCTACAAATCAAATTCACCAATTCACACACACATTCATACAGCTTCTACATTTGTATATTTATAAATGTATAAATATATATAGGCCTTCTCAATCATTCACACAGGCTCAGCAATTTAGGCGTCAATGTCTTGCCCAAGGACACATCGACATGCAGATTGGAGGAGCTGAGGATTGGACTGCTGACAAATAGTGGAGGGGGTGACCCACTCAGCCTCCTGAGCCACAGCCTCCACAAGTTTTCTTATGCTTTTCAGAAACTGATAAATCGAGCATCGAGAGAAGGTGCGACACCAAATCCAGGTTTGGTTTCAAGTGGGCATTGCCTGTAATCACACAAAAAATCATGAGTCTGATTTGCTCTCGGTCAGGGTTCGGTATCTGACCAAAGGAGACTTCAACATGCAGACTGGAGGAGCTGGGGATCGGTCCACCGACCTTCTCGTCTGTTTATTTAAATGCACTCTCGGATAAACAGACTCTAAAGGCCTTTTGGTAAATAATCATCTCTCCTGGACTCTGTGTCTGATGCATAGAGGCTCAACAAACCCAGTGAGCACAAGCTCTTAAATGTTTGAGTGCATCAGAGGGTTTATCCACGAACCAGCGGGTATTACATTATCACTGTGTTTTCCTTCTGAATGGCTTTTCAGGTTTAACTCAAGTGCTCTGACACGTTTCCTCTGCATCCTGGCTTTGTTCACAATCCCTGCTTCAAAGTCGCTGCTTGGCAGGAGCGAGGCGAGTGGAGGGATATCATAATTTGTCTTTTCTTGACGTCCTTCGAGGCGCGAGGCGCGAGGCGCAAAATAAAAACTGAGGAGGAGGAGGAGGAGAAGCTGATACCGAACAGAAAACCTCCTCCTCCTCCTCCTCATGCTTCTCTCCCTCGTCCCTGCTACAGCAATGGGTTTAATAACCAGCCAGGGAAGGAGAGAAGGAGAGAGAGGACAGTTTTACTTTATAGCTTTCCAATAAAAACAGAAGACGGAGGTGCAGCAGCAGCAGAAGACGACAGAGAGGAGAATGCAGAGACAGCTCATTAACCATCATGGAGGACAGGCTGGCAGAGTGACTCACAGGTTACTGTAGCTGTAAGTTTGCATCAGTGTTTGTGTGTCACACACACACACACACACTCATATACTTCTACTTGTAAGGACACAATGTACGACCTCGCCTCTTGAATGAAATTGATTAAATCCTTTTAATATTAATTTGTTTTATAATTAAGGAGGTTTAAGCAGC